ATTAGACCACCACTTTCCAGATGGGAACCTGGAACTGTAGATGGATGGTATGGTGTGGAGGAAGGCTGCCCTTTTTCCTGCATGCTGCCAAGGAGGCCTTACCACCAGCTATGGTCAGCCTCTATACAGCAGCCTGGGTCAGTGCTGTGTCCTGCATTAGAAGTAATGCCCAGCAGTGCAGGAGGAAAGTCAATGGTCATCTGCACTCTACAAAGATAAGTGCCACTATCATCTTCCTGGTACCTTATACTCACGCATCCACTACGTTCAAACTCTGTTACTGACGCATATCTTGCCAAAGTCAGTAAATTATAACTCTCAGCATTGCATGCATCATTTCCACCCAAAGGCACTCACCTACATCATTCTCCCAAACTATTAACCTTGCCTGCCCTCCGTGCTTCCTATTCACACAGTGGGGATACCTCACCACCTCACCAGCTCATGTGTGACCGCAAACTGCTCTTCTATCCACTCCCATCAGGCTCAATCCTTGCCTTTATCACTTTGCAGGATAAACTGGCACATAGCAAGGAGAGAGGTCCAAGACTGGCAAAGGAATGATAGACAGCAGGCTCCTTATTCATGAAGAAGAGAACATTCTGGATTTGGCCAAAGAAAGGCAGGGCAACTCATGCAGCAACAGGGAGTCAAAATTGGGTCATCAAACCAGTGAGCTTCATCATGGTGCGCTGGTCTGTTGTCCCATTACCACCAGTGTTAAATCATTCTTTCACAGCTAATTCGTTGTCTTCTCTTATGCAAGCATTAGCAACATCCAGTGAACCTCCCCAGAACAGGGCAATGCCAAGATGCTCAGCTCCATCTTTGAGGAGGAAGCCAGTGAACTCTCAGAGAATGCAATGGCAAGGCACCCTCCCCCAGCTCAGAAACTTTCACTTTAGTAGGAAATCACAAGATTATATTCAGGAGTACAGCATATCACTGACACATCTCCACAGCTATTCATGGAAGAAATGCTCCAGGTCTCTGATACTCAGAGAAACATAAAAGAATAGGCACAGATCAGCAACTGGTAGAAGATGTGCCCCTACACTCAAGCATAAATGGCTTGGTCAAACTGCAGCGTTAGGTACAGAAATATCAGACCGTTGCTGAGCTGGAACAAAGTATGAGGGAGTTGTTTTAATCATTTTTGGGATGTGGGGTATTTCTGATAAGGCCAGCTTTCATTGCCAATCTCTAATTGCCCAGAGGGCAAGCCAAGGATAGTGAGTCTGAATCTGGGCAGGAGATTCTCAGTTGGCCTTGGCACTGTAAGCCCAAAGGCACCAGGGAACAACAACCCAAATGTCATAGTCAATCTGGCCAACCATACAGCAAGCTCCCTCCAACCCAACTATCGATATTGGGCCTGCAGAAGGAAAAAACATACTGTGGACACGTAGGAGGCACAAACAAAACATCATTATAAACCATTTTTCACTTCTGTCAATAAATGTTCACTTCCAGTAATATCCATGTTTTATAATTTCTGCTGTCAAATCCAGTTGAGTTACGCCTACGTGAGCAATGATCCATTTCAGACACCCCAAGGATAAATTGTAATTGTTGAGCATTGCTCAATTCTCACAGGCATCTGATTCCTTGACGGTAAAGTATCTCAGATATCAGGCATCCCTGAACTGCGACACTGAAGTCTGCAACTATGCATTACACTTTAATATGGGCAACATTGAGGCTAAAAGCAATATGCTGAGATTGTTCTGAATGAGAATACAGGATCAGTGCTGATTGCCCACATCTCTGTCGGGAAAGATTTGTTGTACATATCAGCTTTACAAAGGAGTGCTATGCCATTCCACACTCAGAGATGTACAAAGGGCAGCTCATGTGTCCATCATCCTTCAAAGCACATTGATCTGCCAAGAAAAGCTGCACAAAGTGCTGTCTGTCACAGATTCAGCAGTGTCCTGTAGATGCTTAGGCATTTCAAGGCAATTTAACAGTCTCTGCACACTCTAAAACATTGAAAGGTTACTGATGTCAGCAGTGTCAGAGGAGATTTCTCAGGCTTCCTCTCAATCTTTTTGCTTTCACAAAGGACTTCAGTGCACAACACTTTGACTTCCTATAAAAGGAAAATATTGCAAACTCTGGAGATCGGAAATAAAAACTGAAAGTGCTAGTGCTCCAAAGAAGAGTCATATTGGACTCAATATTTTGACTGTGTTTCTCTCCACAGATGCTATCAGAACTGCTGAGCTTCTCCAGTACTTTCTGCCTTTACTCAGATGTCATTTCTTGACAGATGCCTTAAAAGCTCCCTAACATGTGGTGTTAATATAATGTCACAGTTCTGGGTTATAACCAATGTTCATGTCATGTGGGTTTTGTGTAGATACTTTAAACTGGGATCATCTGAAGATATCATGGATAACAAGATATTTATTCAGCATCACAAAAGTCAAGTATTGCAAAAATAACAATGTCCTCAAAATTAACAAAGTCAAATGTCTTTTGCAATAAACATGAGTTGCTTGTCAGCTTAGGAACAGAATCATATCCAATTAAATGAAGTCCAAACCCAGTTCATTCATTCTGGAAGTGTTTGGCAATAAGATTGTCTTTGTGTTCTTGGCTTCCACGATGCCTTGCACTGCCATGCTCTCTTCACAGAAATGTTATGGCAGAATGAGGCCATTCAGCCCATTGTGGTCGCTGTCTTTGCAAATAAGCATCATAACTTAAGTGCCATTCCTGCTCTCTCTCCATAACTCTGTCCCCTATCCCTAAGGTCCTAATCATTATTCAACAAATCCCCAAAACTGATTGTGGCAGGACCAGCCTGATTGACTGTGGACTGGCTTACAGACTGATGTTATCACAGCACCCCGACTGACCTACGTGAGGTTCCTGACTGCTTGCACTTGTCCTGCAGGACTGACTGTAGATCAAACTCCAGACACAAATCTCTGACTCTTGCAGACCAATTGTCTGACTGACCCTGGCCAATCCCCTTTAAATGTAATCAGATGAGCCCCTCACTGACTGTGGTTGTACCCCCTTTCTGATGTAGCCCTCCTTCACTCCAATAAAGACCCTTATTTGACTCTTCACACAATGCCATTTACTTGAAGCACATGCAGTATGTTTGCCATGAGAGCTGCTGGCACATGCTACAGCACTGACATTGATGTAACACAGTATCAACAGCAACATGTCCACCTCCTATCTGACTGATAGATTGACTGTCCAGTGCTCATCCACATCGTATGCTGCCTGCCTTGTCCTCTGCACTTAAATGTAAGCTAAATCACAGAGTACTCAAAACCTTGAGTGTTAGGAAAGGTCTCCTTTGTAAGTCCTCAGGCTATACTTAAGAGTAAGTGCGCATTACTGTAATTGAGACACTCTGGTACATAACTTAGAGACAAGAGGTAAAGAGGAGCAAAACTGCAAGGAAATTACAGAGAGGTATAAACATCATAGGCCAGTTATAATTGAATATTTAGCTACAAAATAAATTAGCTGGGATGGAAGTAGTGTAAAGGGCAGGGAGAGGGGCAAGCGTTCCTACAATTTCAAGGGAATTTTCTACAGTGGTAGGATGGGAAATGAGGCATTGCTAGACCTGGTTTGTTGGGAATGAGACAGACCAAGTGGCTTAAGTAACTTTGGGGAGTATTTAGGGGACAGTGATCAATTGAGTTTTAGGATGATAGCAGAAAATCGTCATTCCAGAATAAGAATAATTAACGAACGAAGAGTCAAGTTCAACTGGGCAAGAACAGAGCTGGACCAGACTGACACGATCCAAAGCATGATGGGAGAAACAGTAGCTGCACAATGGGCTAACTTCAAACAGGAAATGGGTTGGACATCATCAAAGTGATTTCCATCAAATCAGAAAGGTAGGACAGTTCCCAGCAAAGGAAATAGAAATTAATTTAAGAAGAAAGAGTGTGTTTGTGGCAGATGTTAGGCAGTAAATTCTGTTGAAAAGCAAGCTGAATAAGCAAAGTACAGTAGGGAGGTGAAAAAGCAAATAAGAGAAACAAAGGGGGATTATGAAAAAAGATTGCCAGCTAACATAAAAGGAAATCTCAATGTTTTCCATAAACATATCAACAGTAAAAAATATGGTAAAAGCAAGAGTGGGGCTGAGGAGGGGCCAGGTAGAGAATTTGGATCTAGAGGCAAGGGGCATGGCTGAGGTGTTATATTAATACTTTGTCTTTAGATATGAAGCAAACACAGCCCAGACCTTGGTTACGGAGAAGGAAACATAGTCAGTAAAACAGTTTAAAATTGATGAGGAGGAGTTATTGGATAATCTCTTGATACTTAATGTTATAATAAGTCACTAGGACTGAATGATATGCATCATTATTGAAGGAAGTGAGAATTGAGATTGCAGAGAGACTGACAATTAACTTTGAATCTTCCCTGAATTCAGGGACAGTGCCACAGGACTGGAGAATGGCAAACATTACGGCCTTGTTCAAGAAGGTTGTAAAGATTGGCCGAGCAATTACAAACAAGCTCCAGTTTTATCTCAGATTCTGTGTCACTCCATCCATTGGCACCAACAACTTCCTCCAATTCATTTTAAAAGAAGTCTGAAGTATAAAGTATGCTTCCTGTCATGTGCTTCATTGTTAAAGGGGAAGAATTTTTTATTTAAGAAAATTCAAATACAATCCCAAGGTAACAAATATTCATTGGAGATAAATGCCACAATGAATATTTTAACAAGTTATAGTACAATATACGAGCAAACATTTAAATTTGTTCACTCATATAATAATGAATTAATATCTACCAATGTAGCAAGTCTCAAATTTTTGAAGCTGAGGTCACCAATGCATTTCACCTTTATAACACTTTCAGTTGCCTGTGTGTAAAATTAAATCTCTGCTACATTCAGGAATGATACTTAGAGAATGAATGACAAGTTTATTTTTTAAAAAAAAACTTTGATTCTGTGGTTAAATGGCCTTTCCTCTCTAAGCAATATTATCTTTTGCTCCTACCAGATGGCGCGTATTCTTTACTATATGGCTGTTGTGGGTCATACACTGTCAATTATATCGCTATTGATTTCTCTGGCTATTTTCTTCTATTTCAAGTAAGTACATTGACTTTCAGCTGGTCCTTTCTAACCTAAAAAGAAAGAAGTGTCTAAACAATTTGTGCTAATTTACTTTAAATGAAAGGTAACAGGTTATAAATTAGTTAAGACCCATGAGTGGGCACATACCCAGTGTTGCCTGATACTTTGGAGACTGAGATTTCCCAGAAATTGGACCTCAAGTCACTTTTCAATAAAATATGGTAATTATTGCTACCTAGCTGCAAGCACAGTGTTCTAACTCCTGCTAAACACACTACACCCAATTTCCTGGAGAAATTCTAAAATAGGCATTAGGCTCTTCATTTGTGTTTGCAAAGGAACTACTGTTCAGCGTGCTTCAAGCAGCAACACCACCCACCCCCCCCCCCACCACCACCCCCCCCCAACCCCTTGGGTTATCTGAAAAAACTGCTCAACTCAATACCAGGACGGAAGTCTTTCCATTAAAAGGTAGTCCTCATAATTGGTTCTTTTTATTTTACACCACTAAAACAGGTACTTTGTAGCCAAATCTTTACTCTAATGTACCAAAACATCTTGAAAGTTGATGTTTGTAAAAATTACAAGTGGAAAGGGTGGAAAGGTACATATGTCATACAAAACTGTAACAAAAACAGAAGTTGCTGGTAAAAGCTCAGTAGGGCTGTTAGCATCTGTGGAAAAAAAAATCAGAGTTAATGTTTCAGGTCTGGCAACCCTTCCTCAGAACTGATGGTAGCTAGGAAAACATTGGTTTATATTCAGAAGATGGGGAGGGGGATGACGTAAGGAGTAAACAATAAGATAAAGGATAGAGCCCGAAGAGAGAGAAGAGCAGTTGGATAGACAAAGGAGTTGATATTGATCAGGCTGGTAGGGTGAATAGCTGTTAATGGGACTGTTACAATAGGCAGTGTGTAATGGCAGGATATGTGATAACAAGACCAAGTGTGTGGGGTAGGGGCTAGGACATGGGAGAGTTTAGGCCCTAAAATTATTGAACTTGATATTGAGTCCAGAATGCTGGTAAGGTCCCCAAGCGGAAAATGAGGTGTTGTTCTTCCAGCTTGCGCTGAGTTTCGCTGGAATACTGCAGCAAACCAGACACAGAGATGTTGGCCAGGGAACAGGGAGGTGTGTTAAAGTGGCAGGCAACTGGAAGCTCAGGGTCTTTTTTGCGAGCAGAACATAGATGTTCTGTGAAGCAGTCACCCAGTCTACACTTTGTTTCCCCAGTGTAGAGGAGACTACATTGTGAGCAGCAAATGAAGTAGATTAGATTCTGGGAAGTGCAGGTGAAGTCTCGCTTCACCTGGAAGGTATGTTTGGGCCCTTGGATACTGGCTGTGGGCTTGTGGTGGGGGTGTTGAGGGTGAAGGAAGTGTGGACTAGGGTGTCCTGGAAGGAACAGTCCCTGTGGAAGACAAACAAGGGAGGGGAGGGGAATATATGATAGTCTGATAGTCCCCCTGCCCTGAACAGCTTGCTTCTACCTCCTTCCAAAAATCCACAAACAAGACTATCCGGGCAGACCCATTGTTTCAGCCTGTTCCTGCCTCCAGAATACAACTCTTCCTACCTTAACTCAGTCTTCTTTCCCCTGGTCCAGTCCCTGCCTACCCGTGATTCCTCTGACACCTTACGCCAGTTTCAAAATTTCCAGTCTGAAGGCTCCAGCCGCCTCCTCTTTCCCATAGGTGTGCAATCCCTTTGCACGTCATATAAAACTGTGACTGAATTAAGCTATTCTTAAAAACATGAAACATACAATGATAAAGAAAAGTCAGGCCATTACATCTTGATGATCTGTCAAAGCACTTCACAGGTAATGAAATGCATTTGAGGTTTAGTCACTTTTGCTTGCAAATTTAGCACTATAATTTGGACACAACAAGGTCCCATAAACATTGAGTAATAAATTATTCTGTTTTGTTTTAATTTCTGATGGTGGTTATAAGACAAATCATAGTAGAGGAATTGACCAGTTTTTTTGTCAAGTAGTATTACAGGAGTTTTTATATCGACTTGAAAAAGCTGACAGGGCTGACATCTCATGTGAAGCACAATATCTCTAACCATGCAGCATCTGCTCAATTCTACAATAAATTATCAGCCTACGTTCAATGCCCAAGTCTCTGGTACAGTTTAGAAGACTTAACCTCATGAGGGTGGTTTGATTTTGCACTATTTACAAGATGGGTGATAGCAAATCAACAGCTTATTTTACATCTCCTTGCTTTATATTAAGGATAGTAGAAATAAACGTGGGAAGGAATGTGAAACAAGCTGCAGAATTACAATATCACGCAAAGTCAAAATTTGCCTCTAACATAACAGAAGTGTGTTACTCAAGCTAGATTTGAAATGATGAATCAATCCACGAGGCCACATCAACTACGCTGTATTCAATCACTCTGTCATTCATTCTGCCTCATTCATTTAGTGTCCTGAGAAAACATTCAGTCTTAAAAAGCCCTGATTCTCAAATAAGTTGGAATTTCTTGAATAATTTCCATGATCATCCTTGGTTGCTGACCTCCAGAGACGTTAAGCTTCTCACTCCAGCATGAGAGAAAGGTAACCACACAAATTTGTCAGACTGACCAATGTCACATTGTGATATTCTTAAGTAAACTTTTATTTTCCAGTGAGCTGGCACATGCCACTATCTTTTCCTTGTGGCCTGGATGCAGCCCTTGTGCCCAGTGTCTCAGTGATACACCATACTAGTATCTTAGTGGCTGCAGGTGTCAGATCACGCGATGGTAGTTTTTGGCAAGACATGGCTTATTTATGTCCATCATGATGGGGCTACAGTGTCTAACTAGGCAGTCAGTCTTGGCATATCAGAAATCAACACTGTAGAAGGAGAGATTTAAGGTGACCTGAATTGAAAGTGGCAATGATCTCACCATTTGTAGCTTACAGTTTATAACTCATACCAGGAAAGTTAGACACGCAATAGTAAAACATGTTATTTCTAAGGTGAAGGAAAATTTGGTTTCAGTTTTCTGTTCTGTGAATCATAGAATCATAGAGTACAGAAGAGATCCTTTGATCTATCAAGTCTGCAACAACAAAAAGTTACTTTAAAGCTAACTATTTCCACTTTCCAGCAAATGGTCCATGGCCATTCAAGTGCTCATTCAAGTATTTTTTTAATGGGTATGAGGTTTCCCGCCTCTGCCCGAGGCAATGTATTCCAGATTCCCAACACGATCTGGATGAAAATAATTGTCCTCAAATCCCCTCAATCCCCTCTAAGCCTCCTGCCTTTCACCTTAACATTATGGCCACTTATTATTAGCCCTGCAACCAAAGGGAACAGCTGGTTTCTATCTACCCTTTCTATGCCCTCATAATCTTATCCACCTCAAACAGGCCCCCTTTCAGCTTTCTCTGTTCCAAAGAAAACAACCCAAGTTTGCAACCTCTCTTTGTAACTAAACTGCTCCATCCCAGGCTATAGCCAAGGTCTGAATTTCTTTTTAAAAAGTAAGAATGTCATTTTGAACAGTGAGATAAAGACAGCATTTCTGAGATATCATGTGATTTTTGTAAATGACTAGCAAGATCCTTGGAGAGACCATTAGCTGACCTAGTTTTTATAACCCACAGAAAGAGAGACAGAGCAGTTTGGGGGTGGGGAGGGAGGGTGCATGAGTGGGGACAGAGGTTCGTTCAGAGAGATAAGATCTATAACTCCAGAGGTACTGTCAGCGTAGCAATCTCCAAAACAGTCAGGGTCGAAGGTGAATAAGTCATGAGTTGCTTAGACGAAAACTCCAGAAACAGAAGGCAGGAAGGGAGACATCCTGAAAGTCTGTTGAAGGCATGAGTTTGAGGGACCCATGTCCAGTAATAATGGTGAGCTGAGCCAACAGCTTGTTTAAAGACATGAATTGAAAAGAAAAGCAATGAGTGAATGGACAGAACTTTGCTGAAAAGGAAACTGGTTACAGTCCTGCTAGCAAAAACAATTATCCTTCACTGAAGTTTGACTGCCTGTAAGGTTATTGTTGGGGTAAAAAGGTTAAATCTTTCTTTCTAATATTTGTAATGAGTTCATTCCAATTGTTCATGTAAAGTGTAATGTAGTTTGTGTCTTTTCTTTTGTTAAACCTTTATGTTCTTTTATTAATATTGCATTGTCAGCCTCTTATGAAATTTTACAGTGACTGACCTCACAGTAAACAAAAACACAAAACAATGGATCTATGAAGCCAGGTTTCACTCTGGGATCTGACTTGCCTTGTATTATCATCGGCTAGGGTCATAGTTTTGTGTTTTCAGATTTATTCATTGCTCAAGGAAATGAAGGCAAAGATACTGTGAGAAGGAGTAGGCCATTCGGTCCTTCAAGGCTGCTCTTCTAGGCAACATGATCGTGACTGATCCTCTATCTCAGTGCCATGATCTCGCTTTCTCCTCATATTCTGATATATCCCATACGTTGACACCTTTAAAATCTGAAAAATTATCTCTCTCTTTCTTGAATGTATTCAGTGACTTGGCCTCCATAGACTTCTGTGGTAAAGCATTCCATAGATTCACTACCCTTTGAGTGAAGAAATTTTTCCCCATCTCAGCCCTAAATATCCTAAACAGTATCTTGAGACTGATTCCCCTGATTCTAAACTCCCCAACCAGGGACAATATATCGCTGCATCCAGACCTGTTAGAATTTTATGCATTTCAATTAGATCCCCTCGTATCCTTCTCGACTCTAGAGAATCCAGCCCCAGTGTAGGTCCAAAACGAAATCAGAAATTGTGGGAGAAACTCAACAGGTCCAGCAGCATTTATGGGAAGAAAACAGATTTAACATTTCAAGTCCAGTAACTCCTCATCAGAACAATCTCGGACTGTCCTGCCATTCACAGTATATAGAAATAGAGAATCAGCAATGATCATCTTGGATGGTGGAACAGGCTCATAGGACCGAATGGCCTGCTCCTGCTCCCAGTTTCCTTGCTACTCCCATTCCCTTTGCAATCCCCTTAGAGGCTACCTAGCCCCTGTGGAAGCATCACTTTTCTCCTTTGGCCACCTGGATTACAGTATCCAGTGCTACAGCAGAAGGCCTGGGAGCTTTCTCTCTAGTTCCCTGCTCCATTCATTTTCTTATTTTCTCTCCCTCAAGGACCCACTGACTGCTGCAGCCTCCACTTTAGGGAGTGTAGGTTAGCTGTAACTTCTGTCAACCATGCATGCTTTAGGCCCCCTGCTGAGCTGCAGCCAATCCAGCAGCACGTTTAGCTTTTTGGATATATGCCATAGTCAGGCAGCACAGACTTTATATCCTGTTTCTCTCAACAGGACTGGGTGCTTGTTAAAGTGTATTGTGACACTGATCCTATGCATCTAATCTTTAGCCCAATCAGCAGCTGTTAAACAAAATAATCTGGACTTTTTTTAAATGCCTTAGTGAAAATTACTTAATTATTTGCTATGGCAGAAATATGCCACTGAATTCTTTCTATAGACTGAGACTTTAGTCCACAGCAATGCCAAGTTAATTCTCCACAGGTTTATTTTGCACATTTTATTGTCTTTCCTATAATGTTAACAGTATTTCATTTAACCTGTGATCAAATAAAACAGTATACTGCCAAAGTAATCAGACAATCTCACATGGAGCAGAATAATAAATTCTTAAAGGGCTTTGAAGGATTTTCTTTTTATTTGTCCAGTAAACACTCCAGATTTGGCTAACAAAATGTACAGAAAGTCTTAAGTGAAAGTATTAACCTTGTAGACATTAGGGATGATGCAAAAGAGGAATTTACACAACTGAAAAAATATGTACTGTGTCATGCTGCAATTCTTTGTTAAACAATCAAAGTGCAAATGACTGTTTGCTGGGTGTTTAATGTTCCGTTGCAAGCAATCCTCAAGCTTTCAAACCCAACTCAAACTTTTCTTAATGCTTTGGTTATTTGATCAATTCAATCCTTTTGAAAATAATTCTATTCAAATATATTAACACTTATTTTGAATACACAAGAAGCTGTCATTTTAAATTAAAGAAATGCAACTTGCCTTCCAAATTCCAAAAAAATGTTTTCTTCCATGGCTAAGGATACAGTCCGAATTAGCTGACCCTGAGGAATAGCTTCACAATTGAAATAGCAGACACAAAGACATTTCCAACTATCAGCTTAACACCAGCTGTTATTGCTTTCACCAGTTACTGCTCTGGATTGCTTCAAAGACAATTGCTGGAGAGGGTCAAGAACACTCCAATACAATAAAAAAAAAGCAATTGAAAATTATTGGCCTGATGGACCTGATGGGATAAAACCTGTAATTAATTAGAGGGCTTTTTCGTGCAGTGGTAGTATCCCTATGTATGGACCAGAATGTCTGGGTTCAAGTCCCACCTTCCCCAGACATGGGTCATGCTTCCAATTTGATTCAAATTTGTTTACAGCGTCTTGTGGCACGTGTGGTAGTGTCTCTACCACTAGGTCAGAAGATCAAATCTCACCTGATCCAGAGATACGTTCTAATACAGTGGTGCACAACATTTTCAGCGTCAAGCCAAAGGCCAAAGGTGGGTGATTCACCAGCTCCACACACTGAACGATGGTGCTGTGCACCAATCAGATGCTGGTAGCTGTCCATGACCCCACCCCTGCAACAGGGGTTGCCTGATGTCAACAGAGAAAGTGTCATTGCTCACATTTCTCACTTTATCGCAGTACACGGTGGAAAACCACTGTTCTAACATGTCTAAGGAGATTAATTCAAATACTTGTTCTTTAACAGTTGAAATATATGGCTAACACTTTAGAGAATCTGTAAAGATAGCAGTCAGGCATTTCTAATAATATTACTCAGTTGGCCTAAGCAGGGTAAAAGTTTGGAAGATTTCATATGAAAGGGCCATAAGTAAAGTTTCTGTGATCTTTAACTTAAAAAATGAGTTGGAAGGTGGTCTCACCAGCAAAAGTGGCCACAGCCCCAGGCTGAGTTTATAAACATGGTGCAGTTCCATTGATTTTGCCTGTTTGCAGTCATTCAAGAGGGCTTTTCGAACCTGAACCAATTGTTTTTAAGTGACTACTACGGACTACCACAACAAGTTAAGTGTAGAATGTTAAACAACTTAGTTAAGTGTAGAGCAAAGCATTCAGGAATTTCTCATTACAACTGATAATTCCATTTTTGGTTTGATAAAATGGACACCAAATGATTAGATGAACTTTGTGCAATGAAGTTATGCAACAAAAAATTGGGAGACTGGCATCAATTGCTAAGAGTCTACTGTAATGTTTTGGAAGATTTTGTGATACACTGTTATCAAACTCACCCTCCAGCTTTGGCTTTTGTTCCATTGTCTCTAGTGGTGTGCAAGATAAAGAGATTGTGAAGCTGGCCTGTTAACCCAAGTCCTATTTTCTGACACTGACAGATGTCAGTCAGCCTGCAATGGGTCTCATGGATAGGATTTTTCCTTTTACTGTCCTGGGGATTAATTGCAGAGAGGACATTTCAACGGAGGAAAAGCCATTCAGGCTCCCCTCTGTGCAAAAGTCTTAAACAACACATGACATGTTATGTAGCTATGGAACAAACCTGTTCCCTGGACAGAGATAAAAACAGGTTATTGTGAGAATAGAGTAGTTGAGGGCATATACACCATGAATAACATGTTACTTTCTGAATAACTAAAATATTCCTACAGAACCTGACCTTGTGCTTCTAATCTTCAACTTTTGCTGTGATATTTTCTAGGAGCCTCAGCTGTCAAAGGATAACACTCCATAAGAATTTATTTGTCTCCTACGTATTTAACTCAGTCTTTACACTTATCCAACTTATGGTGGTGGCCAATGACAAGGAGGTAGTTTCCCAAAATCCTGTAAGTACTGATAAAATCTGTGAGTGTTTCACATGAATCAAAGGAATAATGTAGCCTTGACTTCAACTTTGTGTTTAACTGCTTCTGAAATCTGAAGCAAACTCAGAGAGCGTTGAAGAAACTTACCAGCTCTGGCAGCATGCATACAAGGCTGTAAACATGAACTCTGTTTCTGTCTCTACAGATGCTGCCAGATCTGTTGAGTTTCTCCAACATAATCTGTATTTGTTTCAAATTATGCATAAACTCTCCTTTTTGCCAATGAATCAATATTCTATCTGTGCTAAGCTCCCATTTTGCACAAAAATACTTTTTTTTGTGAAACCTTGTCAAATGCCTTCGAGAAGTACAAGTACAGTACATCCAAAGGCTCCCGTTCATGCTCAGCATGTTTTACTCTTTCAAATAGTTAAACATGATTTCCCCTTTCACAAACCATCTGCACCCAGGAATTAGTCAGCTCAGACTCCATTGGTTTGCCCAGTATTACTTCACTAGTAATTATAATTTCACCAAGTTTTTCTTTCCCTACCATCTTATGGTTTACAGCAGTTATTGAAACAATTTTTGCATTCTCTTAATGGAAATTTGTATTTTTTTGTCTCAATCTGATCATTGGAAACTGCTAAATTTGGCATTGAGATCTTTTGGTAGTCTTTGAGCAATTTAATCCTTACTGCAACGTGGATATTTTAGTTCCACAAAAGTGGCAGCATCAACTCTGTTGCTCTGAAACCTTTGCTGGGCTCAGAGTTTGATTGGCCCACTTAAGTGTTCATATCTGCATTGCATTTCTGGTGATGATGTTACCATTCAGAGTTTTTGGAACTCTCCTCTTCAAATGGCAGTGGAAGCAGAGATTTTGAATGTTCATTCGCAGATGTGGATAAATACTTTATAAGCAAGGGGTTGAAACGTTATCAGGGATAGGTGGATTCAGGGTGTACTCAGATAAGCCATAATCTTATTAAGTGGCAGAGGAGGCTCAACTGGGGACTTGACCTACTCCTACTCATAGTTCATATGCACCTTTGTGAACAACACAACTCAACCCCCTGTTTGGTCCCGACAGACTTATAACCCTAACTCTAACCCTAACCCTTAAACATATATATCTGATCGAAAAAATTCAAGCAACTCCAAATACAAATATAGCCTTACATTTACAATTTTTAGGTAGTAACATGGCTTGACTTAATCATTAATTATATGGCTAAACACATAATTATTACTGAAAATGCAGTGCTGATTCAACTTAACATTGTGGTCTACACGTTTTATTTACATTTTTGGAATGCTGCATACAATTCTGGTCACCCTGGTATAGGATGGGCCACAGCAGAACATGATCAATTCATCATTCCAAGGAAGGAATGAAAAACCCTAATTAAAATAGTTAAGGAAAGAAACCGTGTTCTACTTTAACTGCTGCCTATTTAATTATAATCTCAAACATTTAAAGCTCAAGGGTTCTAATAAACTTTAAAATTTATAATCAAATATAACTATTCATCTCTATAAGAATGTGTGCGTTCCTTCTCCCTATTTTATTAGTTTCTATTTATCCTCAGTTACTTACACTGAGTGGAATCTAACTGCTTTTAAAGATATTCAGCTGCATGGACCAGAAATGGACACCAATTTCCCCTTACAAGACAACAAGGTGCAGGGCTGGATGAACACAGCAGGCCAAGCAGCATCATAGGAGCAGAGAGGCTGACGTTTCGGGCCTAGACCCTTCATCAGAAAAGGGGGAGGGGAAGGGGGTTTTGAAATAAATAGGGAGAGAG